TATTGAAATCGGTTCAGATTGGGATATGATTTTATTAAGACGCCTTTGCAATGGTATTAGACGCCTTTGCAATGGCATTAGACTAACAGTAAAAAAACTACACAGGAAATTAGTTGAGGATACGATTATTACGCGGACGTATGCTGCTACATCGAATTCTCTAATAGCAACAGAAATGCCACTTAACTTCAAAAGATTGCAGTTTCTTGCACGCTTGGCATTTGCTATGATATTAATAAATCCGAAGGACAAGCTTGGTGTATGCGGACTAAATTTGGCATGTTCCTGCTTTTCTCATTTGTCAACTGTTCCCGTCATGTTCATGCATTGGTAGACGGAGCTATTTCTTTATTTACGCATTAAAGTATTACAATACATATTTTTTATTTTTTTTTTTTAACCAACACCTATTCGTATATAAAATTTTGAATGCATATAAAATCAAAAGGGGTAGCGAAGTGCACCGGGTTCAGCTAATATAAATATAATTTTGAACCGCATATGATGCAACTTTTCTGTGCATTCCCAGAAGTGCAGTTATATGCAATAATAACAATACCAACCGATCAAGGTATCTAGAGGCGTTTATTCATTTTTTTCATCCGTCGATAGGTCAATGATTAGCTAACATTTTGATGCATAACTTTTCATCAAAATTGACCGTTAATTGACATTGATTGTATATGATAATATTTATTGCATTATAGCTCTTCAAAATAAAGGCTATTGCTGGAATATTGAATCTTAGTATTATTGATATTTTTTTAAAAACACCGTGCGACAAATCTAAACGTTTTCAAAAATTACGATGAAATCTAGCAGAGTATGTAAGTAGAGCTTTAAAAAAAGACACCACAATCGGCGTTTAGAAAGTTTACATCGGCAACTAACCTATATATAGAAGGCAAGTTCGCCCCTTTTCACATTTTTGGACATTTTCGGAATAATATTGCCCGAAATCCGTGCAATTTATGAATGTGATATATTCGGTAAAATGTATATAAGAATACAATCAAATTGTTACCCTCAAGCGAGTCAATAAAAGGGTCTATTTGGTCCTTTTTTAAATAGGTTTACAGACACCCTTTAAACATTATCGAAGCATATCAAAATATTCTATGTAAAATACTACTATAGGTCCCAGAAGTAATAAAATCAGTTAGTCTGACCGGGCCCAACTTTGAATACCCTCCTCCATTTGGAAGGATTTTGGAAATTAAAAAAATATACATTGAAAAACACTGTTAAAAATCATAAAAATACCGAATATAGGGAGCTACCATAATATTGGGGTCAATACGAAGACGTATGGCAAGTTTGTCATAAGCCATTTCAATATTCAAATACGAAACTTGAAACAATTCCGTTAAATAATGTCGCTAAAATCACAAAAATACCGAATTAAGGCAGGTACTTTTATGTGGGGACTATACCAGAACGTGGACCTGCAAACGTAGTTTTCTGTCACAGGCTGCAGTACCCTTTACGAAATGCAAATACAAGATTTGAAATAATTCCTGCGAATAATGTCGCTAAAGTCATCAAAATACCAAATATAGGGAGGTTCCGTTATATAGGGGCTATACCAAGACGTGGACCTATATAGCCATTTTCAATACCAAAAGTCCTGCAGAACAAACGCAAATTTGAGCTAAATTTTATCAACTTACTACAATTTGTTAGGAAGGTAAAGCGATTTTCACAGAGAGACGGACGGACATCCCTAAACCGACATAGAATTTTATTCACTATAAATCTCAGTATAAACAATATATCTAGGCACAGTACTCTTTTGGACAATTTATTGAAATTGTATATACTAAAAATTAAAATCATTCATTTGATTTTCTTACCGTCAATTTAACACTCACCCATCCGAATCAAAATATCCCTTCGACACTTTATTTTTTGGGGGAAAGTGTAAAAGTAAGAATTATTCTAGATCAAATTTTATTTTGAGTATCTGAAGAAAATAAATATGTGTACTTGGACATATTTTCCACTAAACTCACAAAAGTACGGTTTAATCCTATAATGTGTTTGAATATGTAAATTTCTGGCGTTTATGTAAGATTTAGATTATAGTAGAATTGTATAACAAATAATTTTGTATATACAAATAATTTGTAGCCAATCTAAAGGTCATACTAGAAGCATATATTATTTGGCGATGTACTCAAAATATTTATGGGAGGAAAAAGTCGACCAATTGGAATTTTCCACAGCCAATTCCTTGAAACCTTCCCACACAAAAATATTATTTACTATTACTGCAAATTAAAACCAAGTCGGGCGGGGCCGACTTTCTGATACCCTCCACTACTTTGCTAATTTGTAGAGCTCCACATAACAATTAAAAGTTTTTATGGGAGGAGATTATAATTATAATTTAAAGTTCAAAAGACTTACTGCATATTACGGCCGTGGGTAACAAATACAACAAATCGGATGAACAATATATATGGGAGCTATAGCTATATCTGAACCAATCTTCACCAAATTTGACATACAAGCTTCCAGACTCAATTCGGTCGTAAGTGCCAAATTTCACCCCATTTGGACAAATATTAGACTTTTGGTGCACAATAAAAGGTAAATCGGATGAAGTTATATATGGGAGCTATATCCAAATCTGATCCGATCTCAATAAAATTTAGCAAAGGTATTTCTGAGCTGCATTTGATATATTTCTCCAAATATTGTTGTTACAGAGTGCATATTACGGCTGCGGAGGACAAAAATAACAAATCGGATGAACAATATATATGGGAGCTATAGCTATATCTGAACCGATTTCGATCAAATTTGGCATACTTATTTTCAGGCCTAATTTGGTTGTATTTGCAAACCGGGCTGATATTACACGTTTGGGGCACAATAAACGGCAAACGGACGAATATATATATATATGGGAGCTATATCTAAATTTTTACCGATTATCTCCAATAGGGGTCGTCCTTGGGCCAAACAAATGTTGTTTGGATGCATTTTGTTCAGCAAAATTCATGGACTGACATGTATAAATCAACTCACAAAGTGATTCTATGGAGATCCTCAAAAGTAACTATGGGTCTATCTCGCCTCCTTCTCCATGTTACAAACAAATGCACAAAGACATAATACCCTTACCACTATGTGGTGTAGGGTATAAATATCCAATTCTCTTCACATGGATTTTCAACAATACTAGAAATTTTGTATATTTTACATATAATTTGCTATATATCTATGTAAAGGACAAAAGCTCCATTCAATCTATTAGAGCTTGTGCTGGAAAGTTACTTTCCGAATTTATAATATAAATTTTGATATCCTTCACACACATGTTATGGTCCATTTCACAAGCATTATACCATCCAAAATTTAAACAAAACAAACACAGATCACAGGAGAATGTCGAACAGTAGCACACAATTGAGATAAGTTGCCGGATGGGAAGTTAGAAATCCTAACGAAAGTGAAAATGGAGGTGAGGTTATGGTCTGAATAGAATTCTTTTACTTTTGGGGAATTTTGATGGTCATCGGGCAATGTTTAGTGGGTGAAATAGACCATAACATAACTTACAGGCGAAATCCAGAATGCATAAAAGGCGAGCTTCTGGATTTTTTACGCAGATACGGTTGACGAATATAGCCAAATATCGCAGACAAGCAAATCCTATAGATGAGTCTAAATTTGGAGATACAGAAGGGCCTCTTGCTTTTGGAGTTGATCGTGAAATATTTAGGGGTTCAAAGAAAAATGTTCCTGATCACACAATTGAAACCAATCTGAGAAGAGAGTTAAGGACAGAAAAGAAGTCTAGCATTTTGGATGACCTATGTATTATATTTAGCTGTAAAATGGGCCACAATAACTAACAGCACAACGCAGTGCATAAATATTGGGCAGTTGCCCTGGTCAAAAAGCTAAGGGTAATATCTGGGAAGTGCTCTATGACATAATTTCAAAAGCGAAATCTGCCAAAATGGATTTGGATATATGGGGGCTTCAAACATATTGTAGTGTTGTAAGGTATCACATGGTCGGCCCGCACGACTATAGTCTTTGCTTACTTGCTTTCAACTGTAAATGCAAGGTAACCAGTTGGAGAATTGGACATTTACAGCCTGTAATGAATTTTACCTTATGTGGTAGAACATTACCAATGTATGTCCAAGTTTTTCTACATTCTCCATAAAACGGTACCTCCAAGTTTTCCCATAGACGCCATATAATGGTACCTCCCGATTCGCTCACTACATAATAATTTAAAGTTCTGAACTAAATTATTCAATCGATTTCCCGCATTTGCGGTTTAATGAAGAACTCGTTCCAATATTTAATTTCGATACTTTTATTTTAAAGTTTTTACCTGGTGGTTTAGAGAAAATTAGCTAACCTACGAAGTAGGGCCGAACCATTTATACCCTCCACCATTTGGAAGAAACTTGAAAACTTTCAAACAAAACTCAGTCGAAAAATACCGCTCAAATAAAAACCTTTATGTGGGGACTGTAAGCAGACGTGGCCCTTCATAAGTATTTGTTGTCATTGGCTGTAGTAACGATTCTGAACTTTAAATACGGTTAATAAACAATTCCGGTTAATAATATCGCTAAAATCATAAAAATACCGAACAGATGGGAGTACGGTTATATGTGGGCTACACAAAAACGTGGACCTATATACCTAGACAATTCTCTCTCAGGGGGTAAAGTACTCCTTGTGTGAATTTCCATACTATGTGGAGGATATAAAAATACGTCCTATGTTTGTCCAAATTATTTTCTTTAAATCTGCATTACAAATATTAGTTCCAATTTATAATGCACCCGAAACACATATTTTAACAATTTTGTATTTCATAAATGTTCACATTCCCCACTGTAATTTCTTCCTTCTGGCTGATTTATTTGACAAACTGTATATTGTTGGGACCTTTGTGCTGTTAGTACTACTCACTTTGTTATCATGCAGTGCTCAGATAAATTTCCATCTCTCTTGATTTCAGAATTTTCAGAAAACTTTGAATGACTGACAACATTCATCAGAGTTGAATGATACAATGATGAATTTTCCGAGCAATATTTCCAATCAAAAGCCACAAGAGCTACTTGGAGGATACGCACTACTTCCTTTGTCCAAAAAGGTAAATAGCAACACGCTAATAACACTTGATTCTCTACGTTTTTTGGCCTTTGATTGCAGTCACGGACAGAAATGGGATTACATTGGATTGCATGCATGAACGTAAGAACAAATCATCTATCCTCTTGGCGTGGCAATAACGCGCTCGCCTGTTGTGTGTGTGTGTACGGTTGTGAGCCAATAATCGAGTGCACGAGTATGGGTAATGGTAATTTCCTATTTTGAAAATTGTTTTCAACAATTCGCTCTCGTCTCACTCATTTTCTTTGAGCGGACGAAAGAACGAACGAACACAAAGTAATCAATTTTCAATCATAGTCGAGTTAAATATGAATAGACGAGAAAGAAGTGGAATCCAATTAAATGCACGTAAAGGCAACGGCAACAAAAGTGTTCTGCCAATACCAACCACATCGCGTCCCGCCGTTCGTCGTCAAAAACATCACAACACTGTTGGCAACGACTTTGGCTCGAACAGACATACGGCAATCTCATTAAAAGTGTTCTACTTTCTTGCTGTTGTTGGTGCTACTGTTGCTGCTGCCACTTGGCTGAAATTATCCCCGAAAAAAGGCAATACAATGTAAATGAAGGATATGTGTATGCGAATGTATGTTTGTATGAGTTGGTAATATGGTGCGTGCAAGTTGCCACTTCTATTTTCTTTTTTCGCTCCAGTGTTACAATCTGATGCGTGCGTGCGTGTGTAAATGTGAGTGCATGAGATTGCGAATGGGGAAGGCTGTTGTTGCTGTTGTTCATATTCGTGATTACTTTTAAATTAGCTGATAACTCATACTTGAAGTGGCAATTTCGTTATGTTTTAACAAACTGCTTTTGCATATATTTCGGAATTACTTATTCTTCCACTGGATACAGACGACTACGTGCAAATTGCTCTCATATTACAACCACTTAAATGTTGTACGTGCCTTATATGTGGCAACAACAACAACAACGGCAACATGCTCTGCGAAACGGCTACAGTGCATGAAATAAACGTAGGTTCATTATCCATCCATATCCATATATGGGCCAATATTAATTTTTCAATTTCTGCATTGAAAATTGGCCTAATTGGTTTAGACATTAAAAGGTTTTTTTTCGATATAAATAAAATAATTGCATTGAATATTAAAATCCGTTCAAGTTATAAATAAACGATCATTTAAATCATTTAATGGAGCCGATGAATATTAACGAATGTAAAAATTAGAATAACAATACGGTACGTTTGCAGTGCTTTGAGATATTTTGCAGATACGTTAGTATTGTTATTAGCTGACACGGTCCTCAGTGCTGGCCCGTAATTTTAGTTTTTAATGAATATTTTATGATTTTTATTTTGATTTTTTAATCATACGAAACTGTTTGAGAAACTGTTTGTTTAAAAATTATGCCTTGCCAGTCTGAAGATTATTTAAGAACAGTTGTAAACATTTTAATCCATTTCTTTCAAAGGCAAAATATTTAAGATAAATTAAGAAATATATATTATTGAAGTTTCCCCATGTAGAAGAGGTCTTGTCAAAAATTTGTCAATATAGGATCACTTTTAATAAGTGTTCCCTATTTCGACACTACAATTTCTTCATCTTGGAGTCTGAACGACATGTTGACGTCTTCACAAAATCAATGATGATGGTTTAAGATCTAATATAGTAGTGGTACCGACCGATTTCATATATTTTTGACAGAAAAGTTCGTAATTTAATTTTTGTAACCTCCACCTTGAAAAGGACTGTATATTACTATCTTTGCCATTCCGTTTGTAACATCCCTAAATATTCGTCGTAGACCCCATAAAGTATGTATATTCATGATATATAACGGTACCTCGGTATATTCGGTATTTTGATTATTTTCGCCATTTTGTAGGTCATGATAGGTTCTAACTCCGGTGACGGAACGTTGTGTGTATAGGTCCATGTTTTCGTATAACCCCCATACAACGGTACCTCCCGATAGGTGCCATAATGGTTTCCAACTCCGGTGGCGAAACATTGAATATTCGGTATTTTGATAATCGGTATTTTGCTAATCCTAAAACCACTTACCCACGTATTTTTTCAAATTAAGCATTTAAGACTCGCAATAGATAACAATCCTTTTAGTATAATATTGTCTATATAGGTTCGCGTTTTGGTATGGCCCCCATATAACGGCCTCACTTATTTAATGGTCTTTTGAAAAGTTTATTTTTATTTATTTATTTATTTTTTTTTTTTTTTTTTTCTTTGAATGAAAGCAATAATGTCGGAAATAGCATCCAATTTTAGAACAAGTTTAGATTTGTTTGAACTGGTCACCTTGAGCACGAATTATGGCCTTCAAACGGCCAATGAAACCGTCACACACTCCCCGAATGTTGCTCTGCGGTATTTTGGCCCATTCACGGCGAAGATCTAGCTTGCTTGAGGTGATCGACACTTTGGTATTTTTTCGTGCCAACCTTGCTTTCCAAAATACTCCAGACACAATAGTCCAACGGTTTGGTATCCGAAAATGTTGGTGGCCATTTCGCGCTGGAAATGAAGCGAGGAACCTCAGTTGGTAACCATTATTGGGTGGTGCGTGCTGTGTGCGATGGTGCTGAGTCCTGTTGAAATGTCCAAGGTCTGCTGCCAAAATGTTTGCGCGCCCAAGGCTTTAATACACCTTCAGAATATTTTCACTATAATATTCGGCATTTATTTTGATGCCACGGTCGATTAATACGAGCGGCTGTTATGGCGGTCCACACCATCACCCTGACCAGCGCTTGAGTTCTGGTGACCAACCGAAGGTGCACATTTTCAGCTGATCTCTTTGGCAAGTAAACACGATCATTTTGTTTGTTTGCAAACTGCTTGAACACGAATGATTTCTCATCGGAGAAAACTAAATTCGGAGGTTCATACTTTCGGCAAAGCGAAGCAACTCTTTAGCTCTATTGAGTCTATTTTCTTTCTGTTGCGGTCTAAATTCTTGCACTTTTTGGAATTTCAATGGCTTTACCCCGAGCTCATTTTTCAACATTTTCCGATTGGAATTGGAATATTGCGATATGTTCAGCTCACTAACCATTATTCGGCCACTGCGACGCGGGTTTCGATCAAGTCGCTTCTTCACTATTCGAACCATTTATGCTGATGTTGCTGTTTTCTTGCTCGGGCTACGCTACCAGTATCACGATAACGAGCGATGGTATGAGTCATAAAAGATTTATTCACATTTAAATGCTGGAGTGCTCTAAAGATAGCCACTTGTGGTTTTCGAGCCAAATATAGAAATCACACACTCACGCTTAAATTCCATCACAAATAACTTGTTTTCTGGAAAATTCTCAATGAAATGCTTATGTACGCTTGTTAACAATATAATGAGCTGTCACTGGAATAATTTTAACAGCTGTCAGAATTTTCAGAAAATTTTCAAAGAAAATAATGTACCTCATAGAAGAAGGTTTGTCAGTGCGAGGTCAGGTGTGAAAATGGAAAATATCGGCCCACTCTATTAAGTACCTCCCACCAAAGGGTCAAAATTATTATAAATAAGCACCCGATTATATGCAACTCGACACATTCCACTATTCCTATTAATACAATATCAAGTGAGAAGATGGAATATATCGGACCACTACTTCTGGGATATCCCCCACAACAGGTCAATATTTTGAATGAAAATCATAAAACGTGAAATGAGTATCCGATCATTTTCAAACTCGGCGCATCTCAATACTTCTACGAACACAAGATCAGCTGTTAAGATGAAATATATCGGACCACTCCTTCTGGTACCTCTCTCCACAAAGGGTCAATATTTTGAATAAATGCTTATAAAAAGCGAAACAAGCTTCCGATTCTCCTTAAATTTCACGCATCGCAATTTTTACTAATACAAGATCCTGTGTGAAGATGGTAATTATTGGCCCACCTCTTTTGGTACCTTCCCCACGAAGGGTCACAATCTATTTATATAAAAGAAAGTTGTGTTAGTTACTACGCTTATGACTTAAGAACCGTTGGACTGATTTTAACGATTCATACAAATTCGGAATTGTCTCCTGTCCGAAAAAGATATTATACAAAAAAAATCGCGTAAAAATGTGATATATTAACATTTTCATTTTGACTTTTAAATGTACAGTAGTAATGTTTTATTTTGCATGATTTTTTTCCATTTTGACTAACTTTTATCTAATGTACATTTGTAGTGTTTTTTATATTTTATTATACCCTCCACCTTGGAAAGGAGGGTATATTAACTTTGTCATTCCGTTTGTAACATCCTTAAATATTCGTCTTAGACCCCATAAAGTATATATATTCATAATCAGCATAAAATTCTAAGTCGATTTAACGATGTCCGTCTGTCTGTCTGTCCGTCTGTCTGTCTGTCTGTCTGTCCGTCTGTCTGTCTGTTGAAATCACGATACAGCCCACATTATTTGACGTAGAGCTCCAAAATTTAGCAGAGCTATTTGCATTGTGTCTAGGATGGTTGGTATTGAAAATGAGATATATCGGTCCACGTTCTGGTATAGTCCCCATATAACGGTACCTCCCGATATTCGGTATTTTGATGATTTATGCCACGTTTTTTCACGGATTTGTCTTAAAATTGGTATTTGTAGGTCATAGCAGGTCCCTGAGCATATGGCAAAACATTGCATGTATGGGTCCAAAATTTGGTATAGCCCCCATATAAAGGTACCTCCAGATATTCGGTAATTTGATGATTTTTGCAACATTTTTTCACGGATTTGTCTGAAAATCGGTATTTGTTGGTCATAATCTGTTCCAGCTCCGGTGGCGAAACATTGCATGTATGGGTCCATGATTTGGTATAGCCCTCATATAACGGTACCTCCCGATATTCGGTATTTTGATGGTTTTTGCCACATTTTTTCACTGATTTGCCTAAAAATTGGTATTTGTGGGTCATAATGGGTCCTAGTTCGTGTGGCGAAACATTGTAATTATAGGTCCACGTTTTGGTATAGCCCCCATATAACGGGACCTCCCGATATTCGGTAATTTGATGATTTTTGCCACATTTTTTTCACGGATTTGTCTGAAATTTGGTATTTGTTGGTCATAATTGGTTCCAGCTTCGGTGGCGAAACATTGCATGCATGGGTCCATTATTTGATATAGCCCCCATATAAAGGTACCTCCCAATATTCGGTATTTTGATGGTTTTTGCCACATTTTTTCACTGATTTGTCTAAAAATTGGTATTTGTGGGCGATAATGGGTCCTAGTTCGTGTGGCGAAACATTGTAATTATAGGTCCACGTTTTGGTGTAACCCCCATATTACGGTACCTCCCCATAATCGGCATTTTAATGGTTTTTGCCACATTTCTTCTAATGTTTATTTTACCCTAAGGTGGAGGGTATTAAAAGTTTGGCCCGGCTGAACTTAATGTTTTTTTACTTGTTTTTAATTCAAATATTAATACCAATTAATTAATTGACTTGATTTTTTGAGAACTGAAATTGATGGCGGGTTAAATGGAAGTGTAGTAACGAATTATGTGGTGGAGAAAAGGAATAGATGATATCGAAATAATTTAACGCGGTCACACTAAAGTTAAAACATAATTGCTTTTTCAAAATCGCTAAAAAATCACGAAAAAGAGATCTCACTGCAAAAACTCTCAAATCGGGAAAAAATCGAAAAAAAATTCAATGGAATCGAATTTTAAAATAATAGTACATCCTATTGACAAACTTTGTAAGGACCTTTAAACATTTGCTGTAAAAAATCAGCGAACAAGTTGAAGATTTTTTCAATTTGTTATTCTTTCTTGTCAATTTGTATTATCTATCATATTGAATTCAGTGGATTTTTTGTGAACAAAATAAAGAACAATTTTTCACTATATACAATTTTTCACCAAAAAATGAAATAAGTGCGTAATAAGATGTTAACTTACATCTACCTTTCAACTCCAGGTCCTACATCGTTGTTCAGCTGGAAGTTGCGAACACATTTAAACCAACAAAAATTACCGAAAAAGCCTAATGGGGCTCATTCCAAAGCGTGGACTTACTTCTTTCGTGTGACAATAATCCGTCCAATGAGAGCTCAAAATGCAAAATTCTTTGGGAGTACAATCAGTAAAATACCATATTTAAAGGGTGCAAA